GTACATTGTTGAGCTTCGGTCTTGGACTCCTGTCTGCTTCTTCAAACTTGGGGCATGCTAACTGACATCTGCTGTGTGTAATACACTGACTGTGGATAAGTAGCCTACTTCGTACAGCTGCACTTCAAAAGACGTGAATTATCCTTTTAAGGACTAGTGGATATTGATAAGTTACTTGAAAACAGACTGCTACTACTTTAACAAACGTGTCTATAACTTGCTTTATATGTAAATGCTGCATAATAGCTGCTATTTGTTGCCTAATGAATTCGAGTAGTGCATTAAACTGAGTTTTTAATCAGAATGCACCATTATTTCAGGATTATCACTTCATTAGTTCTCACTGCATTACTGCGATCCTTCATTTTGAGTAATTCAGCAACTAATTGATATTTGCTAATTCATTTCTGGCTTATTCCTTACTAATTAATTGCTAGCTACTCACAATCATATGCACCCCATTGCAAAGTTTTATAATGGAAGAGTAGGTGCTAATGCCAGTATCAGAAAGCCAACATTTACCATCACTAACCAAGAAGGGGGCATCCTTGATGTGTCAGAAAAAGGTTTTATTGTAATTGTGTTTTAAACTAAATTAAACTCAAGGGCAATTTAGTTTTTTCGATTTGTTTCTGAGTGACAGCTGGAAGGAAGCTGCTTAATATAAAGACAGAGCAGTAAGAGATTCCTGGCAGAGACAAAGCACCAGTCTGGGCATAATGGGCCACACAAATACACCCGAGACAGCAGAGGAAGTATTAACATATGGCAGGATATTACAAGCTGGAGCAGCCGACAGTGTAGTTCACACTGTGATGAGCCTCCGTCCTAATTACTGCCACCTCTGTGTGATTTGTAAATGGTCACATGACGGAGGCCACTGCAGCTGTGGGATCATAAGGGATGTGTTTAAGGTGTGGCTCTGCAGAGGAAACCTTTTAATGTTGAAATGCCTCATGTTTTAAAGTACCCCCGAGACTTTATTTGTGAAGATGCTGCACTGATTATTGGAAATTATGTCAGTAAAACCTTCGTTGGAAAGGACCAAGGACGTTCCACTTCTTGTGAGTGCTGAAACACACATTAATAAGGTGCTAATTTCAGAACACACACCAAAACTTTTCTATTTTAACTGAAAATATTGTTTTAAACTACTTCTGAGAGAATGGAAATTATAGTTTAAAGTAAGCAGTACGTTTGGATGTCCTACAAAACAATTTTAATTTTCAATTTTCAACAAAAGCGTGTTTATTTATTTGATTTTTTTCATTATTGCTCTGCGTCACACCTCTAATCCATCATAGTGAAGGGTAGATTAATGTGTGCAGGTAATGCAGAAACTACTCAAATCAATTTTTACTTTACAACATTTTAATTTTGACAAACTATTTGCTTAGACGTGTAAAAAAGTTGTAATTTTAAAGCTATGCTGAAGGTTACAGGTGTTGCACTAATTCTGTGACCTATTATTCTGTGGCATCATGAGGAATTCAATCTATGTTGCACCTGCAAATATTTTATTATACATTTATCCCGAACTGTATTTTAATATATATGGTACCAAAAGTCGCGTCACCATAATATATGGATGGCATCACAATTTTTTATAACTGGGAAGGGAAAAAAAAGGACTTTATAGCCACAGAGAGCACCACAAAACTTAACTAACAACTTGATGGATGCACACAAATCAAAATATGTGACCCTCTCTGTGTCTGTGGTTTCATTACTTTTCTTTGCGAAGATGTTATTGCAGTTGTGTCCTTGGTTCAATTCCAACCCACGGCCCTTTGCTTACCCCCTTCACACTATAGCTGTCCTATCAAATAAAGGCAAAAAGCCCCCAAAACATATGTTTAATAAAATGCAAGAAAGAAAGTGCCTTCTGCTACAATGTATGTAACACAATACATATATATATAATTTCATCATCATTTCAGATGCAAATAAATGTACTTTCTACTCCATTACATTTAACTGATGACTTAATGTTACTAGTTACTTTTCAGATTTTGATCAATAATTCAAAATCTAATCAACAAATAAATTATGATGATAAGTATAATATAATACAATATTATAATATCATATTGTATTATGATAATAACTTATAATTTATTCATTTATATAGCACCTTTCAAAAGATACCAGGAGCCTCACCAAGGTATAAAATAAATTATGATGTGATATAATTATGATGTATTACTATGGGATAAGGCTTTATTGAGGCCTGGGGAAAAAATCACAAGCTACTCAGCAGCATATAAAGCCATTAAAATTATGTCAGGGATTAAATATACATTACACTGAGATGGGCCCTTATGAAAGGTGAGTACTTTTACTTCTGGTAATTAAAATATATTTTGATGTTAATAGTTTTGTCCTTTTACTCAAGTAAAATTTGAATGCATGGCTTTAACTTGTACCAGAGCAGTAGTGTATAGCAGTTAGGACAAGCCCCAGTGCATGTTATTATGATGGGCCCTAGTGCAAGAGTTTACATCTGAACAACGTACGACATGACATTGGACAACGTCAACATACATATTACCCAGCAATCATCAGTGCAAATTTGTATACGACAAAAATGTCAAAAAAGAAAAGAAATTATTCATTAAATGCAATATTTTTTATAGTTTATTTGTTGATTTATAGTTTATGTAAAGTAAACGTAGAATTTTATTGTAGAATAGATGCTACTGACTCTACTACTACTACTGAAAAGAAAAAAAGGAAACCATGGTGGGGATGAGTTTGCATTCATAAAGGCATACAGTACAGGCCAAAAGTTTGGACACACCTTCTCATTCAATGCGTTTTCTTTATTTTCGTGACTATTTACATTGTAGATTCTCACTGAAGGCATCAAAACTATGAATGAACACATGTGGAGTTATGTACTTAACAAAAAAAGGTGAAATAACCGAAAACATGTTTTATATTCTAGTTTCTTCAAAATAGCCACCCTTTGCTCTGATTACTGCTTTGCACACTCTTGGCATTCTCTCGATGAGCTTCAAGAGGTAGTCACCTGAAATGGTTTTCCAACAGTCTTGAAGGAGTTCCCAGAGGTGTTTAGCACTTGTTGGCCCCTTTGCCTTCACTCTGCGGTCCAGCTCACCCCAAACCATCTCGACTGGGTTCAGGTCCGGTGACTGTGGAGGCCAGGTCATCTGCCGCAGCACTCCATCACTCTCCTTCTTGGTCAAATAGCCCTTACACAGCCTGGAGGTGTGTTTGGGGTCATTGTCCTGTTGAAAAATAAATGATCGTCCAACTAAACGCAAACCGGATGGGATGGCATGTCGCTGCAGGATGCTGTGGTAGCCATGCTGGTTCAGTGTGCCTTCAATTTTGAATAAATCCCCAACAGTGTCACCAGCAAAACACCCCCACACCATCACACCTCCTCCTCCATGCTTCACAGTGGGAACCAGGCATGTGGAATCCATCCGTTCACCTTTTCTGCGTCTCACAAAGACACGGCGGTTGGAACCAAAGATCTCAAATTTGGACTCATCAGACCAAAGCACAGATTTCCACTGGTCTAATGTCCATTCCTTGTGTTTCTTGGCCCAAACAAATCTCTTCTGCTTGTTGCCTCTCCTTAGCAGTGGTTTCCTAGCAGCTATTTGACCATGAAGGCCTGATTCGCACAGTCTCCTCTTAACAGTTGTTCTAGAGATGGGTCTGCTGCTAGAACTCTGTGTGGCATTCATCTGGTCTCTGATCTGAGCTGCTGTTAACTTGCGATTTCTGAGGCTGGTGACTCGGATGAACTTATCCTCAGAAGCAGAGGTGACTCTTGGTCTTCCTTTCCTGGGTCGGTCCTCATGTGTGCCAGTTTCGGTGTAGCGCTTGATGGTTTTTGCGACTCCACTTGGGGACACATTTAAAGTTTTTGCAATTTTCCGGACTGACTGACCTTCATTTCTTAAAGTAATGATGGCCACTCGTTTTTCTTTAGTTAGCTGATTGGTTCTTGCCATAATATGAATTTTAACAGTTGTCAAATAGGGCTGTCGGCTGTGTATTAACCTGACTTCTGCACAACACAACTGATGGTCCCAACCCCATTGATAAAGCAAGAAATTCCACTAATTAACCCTGATAAGGCACACCTGTGAAGTGGAAACCATTTCAGGTGACTACCTCTTGAAGCTCATGGAGAGAATGCCAAGAGTGTGCAAAGCAGTAATCAGAGCAAAGGGTGGCTATTTTGAAGAAACTAGAATATAAAACATGTTTTCAGTTATTTCACCTTTTTTTGTTAAGTACATAACTCCACATGTGTTCATTCATAGTTCTGATGCCTTCAGTGAGAATCTACAATGTAAATAGTCATGAAAATAAAGAAAACGCATTGAATGAGAAGGTGTATCCAAACTTTTGGCCTGTACTGTATATGGTAAACTGAATGAGTAACAGGAGCCTGTTCTCTGGACAACACACATTTAATCAGGATGCCCCATCGAGATTGAAAAAAGGAGACCTGGCCAATGTAGCAGCCAATCGGAACACATTTAAAATGCAACAAAAAGAACATATAATACAGAAATCCACAATAAAACAACGAAGCAAAAATATAGTGGCTTCTCAAGAAAAATAACCACATCTCTGTCACTACATTCTTTAAGATGCCCTTAAATTCATCAAGGGATATAAGTGTTTCTAGTTTTAGATCTTTTTGAATTTTATTCCATGTCCATGGTGCAGAGTAGGAGGATGCAGTTTTGGTACATTAAAAAGCAGCCACTTGGAGCTGGTACCTAGCAGAGCTGTTGGAGGGCCTGCTCTGGGTGCTTCTCCCGCCGCCTCCAGCAGGGGTCCTCAGTGCACCGTGTGGTGGTGGACACTGCTCCTAAAGAGACACACGAGCACAACAAACCTCTCTTCTACGCTCTTATTTTACGTAAATGAAAACCAAACATTCTGCCAAGACCGATGTTTTTACCTAAAATGTCAAATACAACAGGTAACTGTTACATGTGGTTGTTTATAGCGGCTGTTCAACGTTAACCGTTAAGACAAACCGTCCTGTATTTACAAACTCAGCTCATGTATTCACGAGGATGCGCGCGCCTCTTGGCAACGGAAGTTGAACGTTGTTGCTGGTGAAAACTTCCTTAACCGAAGCTAAACTACTGTATCCAAACTGTTTTAAGCTAAAATGTCGGCGTGTTGCGTGTCTGGCTGTAAAAGTCGACATTCTTCAACCAGCAAACGGTTTTACAGAATACCAGCCGGGTCTCGGCCGTTTCAGGCCAACCGGAGACGTTTATGGCTCCAAGCTATCGAGAAAGTGAACGGCAGCACCGAGGGGCTCAATGGAAATGCCCGCATCTGTGGCGCTCATTTTAAGTCAGGTAAGAACCATGCTATCATTTTACCACATGCTAGGTGACTTAACGTTATTGGTTAAGGTGGACATATTTTGGTGAAAGTGAAATGTAGCTAACGTTAATTCTAAAGTTACCTAAAACTTTTGTGTTGTTTATGTTTTATAGGGGAAGCGTCCATGGACCACGACAGTCCCGACTTTGTACCCTCTGTGTTTACATATGCTGACAAGAAAAAAGTCAAAAGGTGAGAACTAAAACCTAAATTTAGGAGCTAGTTAGCATCTGTGATGTGCTAACCCTTGTTTGTGCCTCTCATTTAGCACACCAGAGTGTCAAACTCCTGCAAGTAACAGCTTGTGCCATGTTAGTGTGCTAGCTAGCAAAATAGTGGTGGAAACTAAGTACATTTACTGAAGTACTGTAACATTACGTAATTGCAAAGTTTAGGTACTTGTACTTTACTTGAGTATTTCCAGTATTTGCATCTATATACCTATGTTTAATACTTATACTCCAGTACAGTTATGAGGTAAATATTGTATTCATAACTCCAGGACACACCATATTTATTTGATAGCTTTGTGGATTCAGACTAATAGTACACGATATATTCAAAAAATAAACTAAAATGTCTAATTATGGGTAAAGATAAAGCTTTATTAATACCTTGGTGAAATTCATAAGCTACCCAGCAATATATATAATGGAAAAACTTTACCCCACATTTACCAGCTGCAGCATTTAAGTGTTGTAGCCATTAATGTATCGGTAATGAGTAATTTTAAGTTTGGTACTTTTAAATATATTTTGATACTAATTCGTCTTTGCTTCAGTAAAAATTTGAATGCATGACTTTTATACCTAGCAGAGTATTTCTGCACTATTGCTATTTTGACTTAAATACAAGATCTGAGTACTTCTTCCACCACTGCAAACCAGGAACTGCAAAACCTTCCATTACACTATCAGGCACATGTACTAACATGTTTTTAAAAATCCCCTCATTTACAGGGTGTCTGCAGGTCCTTAAAAAGTCTTAAAATGTCTTAAATTCAATTTTATAACAATAAGGCCCTAAAAGTCATTACATAGTCTTAAATTTGAATTTGTGAGGTCTTAACGGTTTAAAACATTTTATCTAATTTCATTTATACGTCTTTTAATTTCCTTTTGTGAAAAGGAGTGAAGCTTTTTGTGTATGTATATTCATTTTACTTCATACTCACACTTACCTGTTGGCAAAATTTAGACCAACTTAATTCACTCTAATAACCGTATTCTTACAGAGCACCTACCTCTGCACAAGACCACATATATACCTTTTACCTGCAATGCTGCAATACTAATATAAGTCAAACATGATTTGTCCAAAAATCTGTTCTAATTTTGGTTAAAATGTGTCTTGAAAGGGTCTTAAAAAGCATTACATTTACCTGTCTGATACCTGGAGACACCCTGATTTGTTATTACCGAGCTATGTCTTGCTCTTTGTCTCTTCTGATGTGGAGGTAATTTCAAAACACAAATTCAGGGGTTTTAATTTAGGACTTAAACAATAAGCTTATCAATTGATCAGTTGATTGCCAGACAATTAACAATTTTATCAGCAGTTTCAGTAATTTTTCAAATAAAAATGACAAGTATTTTCTGGTTTCAGCATCTTAGATGAGAGGATTTCATTCTTTTCTTCATTTATGATTATAAAATGAATATTGGGGCTTTAAAACATTTAGTTTGGCAAATGCAGCATTTTTAAAATGTTGCCAGGGGAATATTTCACAACAGGTCAAGAAAAAAAATGGTAGATCAATTAATAATGATACTCGTTAGTTTCAGACAGATTTTCATGGTACTTCATGTCTTGCACATGTCTGTAGAAAACATGTCTTAAAGGAGAAATACAATAATGCTCAGTCATACATGGCCACAATATGGGTTTTCGGTCATGTAAAACAAGTAAGCATTGCATATGAAATTACATTTGTGGCACTGTAAACAGTTGGTAAATAAACTTAGCTGTTCATTGAAGATCATGAAGTGTGGTAACTAACTGCTTCAACTTTTTAGTGAACTGAGCCTTGTCTGTCACACCACAGGCTGTTAATGCTCACCATTTTTATTGCATATGAAAAATGCAGAGCTTTCCAATCCATTTTAATGAGTAGACATACAGGACAGGCCAAAAGTTTGGACACACCTTCTCATTCAATGCGTTTTCTTTATTTTCATGACTATTTACATTGTAGATTCTCACTGAAGGCATCAAAACTATGAACGAACACATGTGGAGTTATGTACTTAACAAAAAAAGGTGAAATAACCGAAAACATGTTTTATATTCTAGTTTCTTCAAAATAGCCACCCTTTGCTCTGATTACTGCTTTGCACACTCTTGGCATTCTCTCCATGAGCTTCAAGAGGTAGTCACCTGAAATGGTTTCCACTTCACAGGTGTGCCTTATCAGGGTTAATTAGTGGAATTTCTTGCTTTATCAATGGGGTTGGGACCATCAGTTGTGTTGTGCAGAAGTCAGGTTAATACACAGCCGACAGCCCTATTGGACAACTGTTAAAATTCATATTATGGCAAGAACCAATCAGCTAACTAAAGAAAAACGAGTGGCCATCATTACTTTAAGAAATGAAGGTCAGTCAGTCCGGAAAATTGCAAAAACTTTAAATGTGTCCCCAAGTGGAGTCGCAAAAACCATCAAGCGCTACAACGAAACTGGCACACATGAGGACCGACCCAGGAAAGGAAGACCAAGAGTCACCTCTGCTTCTGAGGATAAGTTCATCCGAGTCACCAGCCTCAGAAATCGCAAGTTAACAGCAGCTCAGATCAGAGACCAGATGAATGCCACACAGAGTTCTAGCAGCAGACCCATCTCTAGAACAACTGTTAAGAGGAGACTGCGCCAATCAGGCCTTCATGGTCAAATAGCTGCTAGGAAACCACTGCTAAGGAGAGGCAACAAGCAGAAGAGATTTGTTTGGGCCAAGAAACACAAGGAATGGACATTAGACCAGTGGAAATCTGTGCTTTGGTCTGATGAGTCCAAATTTGAGATCTTTGGTTCCAACCGCCGTGTCTTTGTGAGACGCAGAAAAGGTGAACGGATGGATTCCACATGCCTGGTTCCCACTGTGAAGCATGGAGGAGGAGGTGTGATGGTGTGGGGGTGTTTTGCTGGTGACACTGTTGGGGATTTATTCAAAATTGAAGGCACACTGAACCAGCATGGCTACCACAGCATCCTGCAGCGACATGCCATCCCATCCGGTTTGCGTTTAGTTGGACGATCATTTATTTTTCAACAGGACAATGACCCCAAACACACCTCCAGGCTGTGTAAGGGCTATTTGACCAAGAAGGAGAGTGATGGAGTGCTGCGGCAGATGACCTGGCCTCCACAGTCACCGGACCTGAACCCAATCCAGATGGTTTGGGGTGAGCTGGACCGCAGAGTGAAGGCAAAGGGGCCAACAAGTGCTAAACACCTCTGGGAACTCCTTCAAGACTGTTGGAAAACCATTTCAGGTGACTACCTCTTGAAGCTCATCGAGAGAATGCCAAGAGTGTGCAAAGCAGTAATCAGAGCAAAGGGTGGCTATTTTGAAGAAACTAGAATATAAAACATGTTTTCGGTTATTTCACCTGTTTTTTGTTAAGTACATAACTCCACATGTGTTCATTCATAGTTTTGATGCCTTCAGTGAGAATCTACAATGTAAATAGTCACGAAAATAAAGAAAACGCATTGAATGAAAAGGTGTGTCCAAACTTTTGGCCTGTACTGTACGTGACACAATTATTTTTCTCAATTATTTTCAAAGGTACTCCAGTCGTATAAAAAGACAACGATGCACAGCCAAAACAGACGAAGAAGAAGAAGAAGAACAAATTGCTTCACACAGAGCTGATTTTCCGGTGGACCTCCAATCCTCTGATTTGACAGAGGAAATACAGACATCATTATCTCCATCAGAACCAAAGGTAGCCGGCAGCCACTGCTTGTTATTTCCGCATTCATTTAATTCTTTTAGAAAATCAGTCTATTTAAATGTGTTGTTACTGTGGTTTACTTAAGATGGGGCTCTCCTGTGTGTGTGTTTCCTAGGAAGGAGAAACATGGACTGAAGAGGCTGAGACTGAGAGTGAAACCACACCAATCAAATCACAAACAACATCACCATCAGCAGACTATCCAGTACCAGACAAAAGGATTCCCATTGTGCTTCTAAAACATGTGTTTGTACCAGCAGGTGGGTATCAGTGCGAGCAGTGCAATCAGAACTTCACCAATGCACCACAGCTTATAAAACACAGACAGGTGCATGAAGAAGAAGAAGAAGAAGAAGAAGAAATAGACAGCACTGTCATCTGTGAATCTTGTGGAAAGGTTTTCACAAGTCAGGCAGATTTCACTGAGCACCAGTGTGTCCCCAAGCCTTCCTTTCCGTGCAACATTTGTGATCGAACCTTCACTACAAGCCATAACCTCAAGCGTCATAAACTGCTGCATGTCAAAGATGGCAGGAAGTGCCACCAGTGTGGCATGCTATTCTGTCAGCGTCATAACCATGTTGTATTCACGCCACTGGCCGAGTCCGTAACTGAGTATGAAGAGGATCCCACCGAGCCTCAAAATTTAGACGCTGATTTGACGCCAGAAAACCATCTGCTGGAGAAGCCAGAGCCAAGCCAGACTGCTGACCTGGATGACCATGCTCAGAGCAGCATGACTGTTTCGCCTATACCCCCAAACCATAAGGCCCAATCTCCAGCCCCATCTCAAGCCTCACACACCAAAGTGTTACCAGACATCCCTCCACCGGTGTTTCTAATACTCCCCTCTGTGTCACGTTTACCTCCACCGGTACCAAGGATCTCAAGCAAATCATCTACCTCGTCTCGGTTTAAGACACCCCTGCCCAAGTATCCTGTAGCCTCCATTCAGCCCCCTCCCCCACCAAATCTACAGCTCCCACCCTCCCTGAAGCTTTTCTCACCACAGTACCTTACCTCAGCATTTCTTGAGGTTAACAGAAATTATGATTATATTTTAAGCAAACCAGCAGGTGTGAAGAAGAGGAAGAATATTGTGAAGGAGGAACAATGCGAGGGGCCTTGGATTTCTCCTCATGAGCAAAGTGTTGAGCGCGTCAAAAAGGAAAGAACTGCTTATGAGATGGAGTTCATGCTCTGATCCAAACAGTGGAGGGAAATATGTCACTTTAAAAGCAGTGACTACATTTACATATACAGTACTATTCCTCTATTATTCATACGAATAATATTATTCATATGAATAATATACATGACAATATTCAGAACTTGATAAGGAACACGTGAAGAGCATTTTCCATTTGGATATTCTGAATTAGACCTTTTTCTGAATGAAACATTTTTGGATTAAGACGTGGGAAACACCTGGATCATTCAGGTTTTAAGAGCATACTTTCTACTTGTACGTAGCATATTTTTGCATTCCCAAAGAAAGGCCCACATTTCTGGTTGGTCCCCCCTCTGTTGGGGTACCTAGCGCACAGATCTGGTACTAAAAGGTGGAGCTGTGAACACTGCAGTCTGTTGATTGGTCAATAGAGGACGGTCACTCTGCTCAGGGCTGAATTGTGGCTGGTTTTGAGGCTCATGTAACCACTGTTCATACTGTGGAGAGTTTTATTAGTAAAATGTAGCTATAAAATGAGAGGATGTTTTGCTGCCTCTCACAGCAGCTGGAGTCTGAAAAAAAATTTTTTATATCACCGAGCCAACCGCCAGCAACTTTTAAGGTGGAACGTCAGCTTGTAATGTTACTCAATGCATAAGCTGATGAGGTGAATCCACCAGCACACCTTAAATTTCACAGTGACAACTTTGGCCATACCTTTGTTTTTAATATGACATACACCTTTAGTAATGAGTGGATCTTCAAGCGTTAATATATATTTATTTCAACTGGGGTGGCATAAATCCCAGTCTTCACCCGGAGAAAAGAAAAGCATTGTGGAGTGTCGTTCCTGTGGACTCCAGCAACATTAAACCCCTGAGCTTGCCTGAGAAGGACTAAATGTACAAACCCGCTATTTTTAAACATCCCATGGAGAGAGACTCTCACTGCAGCCTGTTTTATTTTGTTCTGAAAATGTCGACATGCAGCCTCATTCTGTGGACGATAAACGAGGTGCAGTCTTTCCTCTGTGTCACCGATAATGAGGAAATACAGTGAGTGCTGGACGGAGCAGTGAGTGACAACAACCCCGCCCACATTTAAAAGTACTGTTTGCAGTGGAAACACCAGGGTCTAGGTACCATGTCTGAAGGATTACTCTTGGTTCCAAAGGTACCATACTGAAAGTGTTTGACGGAAACAGGGCTAAAGAAGCAAAATGGCACAAGCGGCTCCAGCTGCTCCGCTTTTCCATATTTTGACGTAATGTGTTAGAGCACGTAATTTGGAGTATGCAAGAGTGAATCACCACAATTTAACCTCAGCTGTCAAACTGGCCTGTTCACCTAATTCTTAATGTTTGACATTTCCCTACTTCTTACACTAAGACTTGTGCCTTGTATCATAAAGCTAATAGCACATTCTGTCAAACATATTAGTGTGTTCGGTAGATAGTACAACTAAAACATATACAACAACACTTAAGGCTAATTCTGCTCTCAGTAAGCCACACTTATGCTCTCTGTTTGGCATAAAGTGGTCTCACTTTTTGTTTAGTGTTCCTGTGATAACATGTACACTGTGAACGTGTTGCTGCACACTTTAGTTGGATCCAAACTAGTTCAACACACCAATTTATTTGAATGTCTAAACTCGTAAAGCTGCTGTTTTTATTAAGCAAGAGTTCTGTATGTAGGATGCGTTCCCGTCTTTATCACTGTTGAGGTGAACTTTGTTTTTTCACTGTTGTCTGGTAATAACACTGTTCTGTACGTAAGCAGCAGCTCTAACTGACCTGGATTGTAAAACTGCACCAGGTGGCATCTGGACTGCAGGCTATATTCTGTATTTAGCAGTTTGTAGAGTAATAACCAGTTTAATCTCTAAACAAATGCACAGTGCCATGAATGATATCATGAATATCATTATCCAGCATCAAATATGAAAAGAACTGTCAGTGAATTCAGTTTTTATCTACCTCAGCGACCAGGAACAACACAGACAGTGTGTGTCATCTAACATTATAGATTTGTGTTTGCACAGAAATAACATTTCCCCCTATGTGTATATAAAGATACTGTAGCAGTCCCAGTATTTTGGGTACACAGTTGGCTTGTGTGTACTAAAGTCTGGAAGTGGCAGAAGGCAGGGCGGTGTATTGAGAGAGGAAGCCACTTGTTTTTCCTGTAACAACAAGCACCAAGCACCGAACCTGTCAAACTGTAAATGAGAGAGAAACCCTTTCTCCACCTGACACCGTGAACAGCGACAAGTTGAACGCGTTGCATCATATTCTCATTACTGTGGATGCAACACGCTCACTGACTGAAGCTACAGGTTCTGAAACAGTTGTTAACGTATCAGCTTGCTGATAATCTTGTTTTTTATTTTGTGTGTGTTTTATTTTATATCACCTCAGTCAGTACAGCCAATGGATGATAACTTTGTACCTGTTTTTGTGTGCCTTTTACACTGTTGTGTCATAACACTGACATTAAAACTCTCCAGTAAAACCAAATTCCAATTTAAATGTACTGCTGTGTAGCTGTAACTACACTGTGTCCATGTCATGCTGATTCTCACTTGGACACAGTAACTGAAAGACAACCTGTGCAATGTGTCTAAACTTAAATATCTATCTAACATAATCATATATGCAGAAATAAAATCACTACACTAAATTTGCTGGACTTTTTTTCACTGGAGGAATTTACAGAGGGCAGGGGGTGATTGTGTGGCCTTAAGTGTCTTCAGATTTGTCCTGATGGTGGCACTAGAGAGGTTGTTAAATTGACCCAAAACTGTCTGCCCGCTTGTCTCGGACAGGCCCCTTTATCAGGATGTCATATTGCATTAGGATGGCCGGCTTGTTCTGTGAGCTGCGATACAATCCCATTGCAGAAAAGAAGCCAACAGTACAATAAAATAAGGTGCCTTCACACTCTCATTCGACAGGCCTTCTTGTCACTGTATATGCCTGTAGGTCTGAAAGAGTACTTTGACTTCTGTGACCACAGCAGGGGTTAGAAGTAAAACTAAATTAGGCTGCTGCTCAATTTTACAGCTCATTTATTATCAAACTTTTAAGTGAAGGTTTTGGATGCACGGGTCATAGAAAAAATGTTTTTTATTGCTCTGCAGTACCACTTGGTAATAAGGAACCTGTTTAAGACATGAACACCACTTATTAATGGTTAAATGCATAACAGATCAGCCTTTTATAAGAACATTTGGGTTGCCAGGTTGTGATGAATCTCTCTGGCAGGTGTTTTTACTCTTTCAGCATCTGCCCCTCAATAATTTATCAACATCTACAGCTGCAGACGTAATGGTTTGTTGCAACAAAAACAAAATCCTAATTACACTTTATTAATGACATTTTAATAGAGCAGAATTGATGTTATAGTTGACACTCTGGCCCTTTACAGACATTTGTAACTGCAGCTCTGTTGGCTGATTAGAAAATGGAGAACTCATCACCCTCTATCAGTGACTTTAACATTTCTAACTGCAGAACGGATTAATTATTAAAAAGTCTAGATCCATTAACCTTTATTAATGAGGAGAAGAAACAACAGCCAAAGGGATTTTTCACAACCAAATGTTGTTCTTATTAATGGCTTTATTATTACTAATCTATAGCATGAGTAAATATGCTTTTAACCATCAATATAGCCATTAGTGTCAACTTATCACCCCTTGAAAAATTGATGACTTATTGCCTGTATTACATAAATTATTGTGTGGTTTTAAAGGATTTTGCTAAAAGTAAATACATGTACATATAATAACAATGCATTGGAGCACCATTTGCTTTTATTTTATTTTTATTTTTACTTTATTTATTTCATATATTTTATTTTATTTTATTAACCCAACCACTACCACCCCCAGTGAGGATATTTTACTTGTTTGTTTTGTTTTTTCATTTTTTAAAAAAAATTCACTTCTCTTTCTCAGTATTATCACTAATTATTCATAATTTTCTTTTCTTTTTTCCCACTTTTTTTTTTTTTTTTTTTCCTTGCATTTAGAAGTGGAGCTCAGTGTATGCAGGTGGTGATTACATACAGCACAACAAATACACAAGCGAACAACATCACTCCATCATTACAAAAAACTGAAACAAACAAACAAATAAAAACAGCAGACAGAAACTAAAACAATGTACCTCACACAACACAGGGACAAATAGACCTACAATAGAAAATTAATGTTGGCATAACAATAGTTCAAACTAGCTCAGCCACAAAGAGTTGACTTTTTTTTTTTTAGAATGAATAAATAAAGCCAAAATATGACAAAAGGCCACATATCTTTTCTCATCACCCCTTGGCTTCAATAAACTTTTCCTATCTATCTAACTGGTGTTTAAGGAAGCCCTTAAATCTACAGATGTACTACTACTACTTGGTTGAAGGTGGCAGTGCTGTTTGGGCTGAGAAAGCCATGTGTAAGTAAGGTAAAGGAGGTTATTGGGTTGATGCGGGGAGGGGAGCAGTTAGACCTGGCATTAGGGGAGTGTCTCTGGGACGCTAGAGATCACTGTCTAGCCTCCTGGAGATGTCGTGGGACCAACTAGAAGAAACACTGGTGAAAGGAGGTTCCCACCAGATGAACCCAAAGACATGATAATTATCACTGCTCATTGGTATGTATAGTTAAGCCTTGCCATATTAGCTTATCATAGGGCTTAGGTTTTTCACTGAGTGTTGATCCTTTCTCTGGAGCACAAACTTCTTGTGTTTATTTGAACTCAGTTGCCCTATAAATGAACCTTCTCTAATAATAATAATACAATTTATTTATATAGCACCTTTCAAAACACAAAGTGCTGTACAATAAAACTAAACACAACTAAAACACAAGAAGAGAAGAATAAAACCAATAACATGTCATAAAATGTCATTTAATGATTTAATATAATTAACAGTTGTTAACAGATTGTTTTTCAGCAGCCCTACATTTCATTTTTAGAACATTTTATTTGATAACTTTCTATACTTACAAAGATATATATATAAAGTGGTGCCTGTTCTTGAATTTGTGGCTTTAAAATGTTCTCAAAAGAAAAAACTAGGTTGATTTTATAAGTCATTCCCACAGTTCATCCCTCCAAAACCTCTTGTACCACATCTCAGAGCCAGATGCGAGTTCACTGTCTCCTGTCTGATTCCATTTGCACGCTGTACACATCCCATTGGCCAGCAGACACCGGTAATGGTGGGTGATAACTCTGATTGGCTGTTCCATCTGTCACTCAAGCGCCCCGACGACAGCGATTGGCTGACGGGCCCGGACCTAAGCAGCTGATTGGTTGTCGCGTCTCCGCCTGGCTGCCTGGATGACAGGCGAGTGGTGCTGATGCTGTGACAATGGGAGTCATCCAGATAAGCATCATCTG